ATTTAACGCTTTCACAATGATGAGCAGCAGTTCAACAAATCAGTGATGTCGAACACTTCCTGGTTCTCAAACTGTGACCGCAGATCATTCAACTTTTCCAAATCGAGCGAAGTTATTTGGTAGGGCTGTACCATTTTTATGAAACTGAACACAATGTTCCTTACATTTCACTCCGTCCTATTAATTCGTTAGAAAGCAGTAAACGGCACCTGCTTGTATGCACGTGCACTGAAGATTGCACCAACTTATTTTGGATCGACCGTATGTGCGTCCGTCCACCTGCTTGCGGAGACTACATTGTTTACGACTACGCACTAAGCATGCGCTCAGACACGATATCGTGTACACTGCGCACCGTGAACTTGTTTCGGCTAGCGGCAGTGTCAGCTTAGCCGACTCCAGATTTACGATATGAGTCGTCAATGTCCATATGAATTTACGGGGGTATTACACTGGCTAGGTCCCCCTTACCGCTGTCCCATGGGTGCTGTCTTACCAAGTACGACGACGAGGCCAACTTCAGTGAATGAAGAACAATATTTGCGAAGTTGAAAGACTTGGATGACTTGTGACCCTTTTTATAAGCAAGTCGGACTGTTGCCTGGCCACACCCCGAGTGCTCACCCTATCTCAACCGTTTGCTACGATTGCACGTTAACTTTCTTTTGAGAAGTCCCGCTTACCAGCACCTTCTGTCTAACAGAAAATGAATCTGGGCTTGTGATACTTACCTTAGCTATAACCCTTGAAGCCCTGGCGACTGCGATCGAACCCCACTTGCCGGTCGAGTGCCTATCGATCGATATTTTGCCTTCACTGACCTGAGCGCGTGCCCACACCCCGACCGAACAGACAACAAAACGATCGCCCCTCGGCGCTGTGAAGCTTTTGCTGTCGTTTGCCTCTCGGTCGATTGTGCGCCCCCTCTGTAGTAGTAGTAGTAGTAGTAGTAGTAGTAGTAGTGGTAGTAGTAGTAGTAGTAGTAGTAGTAGTAGTAGTAGTAGTAGTAGTAGTAGTAGTAGTAGTAGTAGTAGTAGTAGTAGTAGTAGTAGTAGTAGTAGTAAAGACAGTCCTGCAACCTCCGTAGCCCTGAATTTTGATTTGGTTGACTTCGCATTGTCAAGCCTTACACCCCATTTTTACAGAATGTGTGCAATAAAAACTGTTCCATTATCCACCACTGGAAACTATGTCAAGAGGACGCAATGGTAACTTGCGCATGTTTACAGTGGAGTAGGTTTGCACTCCATCTACCGCACTCTCCCTTTCCACTGCTGTCGCGTTCCGATAGCATTACAAGGTCGAAATGGTCGAAGTTGTCGTCGCCTCAGTAGCCGGTACGTGACACACACGACTTAGTCTCGAAATCCGCACATACTTGGCACTTTGAACAGTGCCTCAGGGTTCAAACTATTGAGAGTGTTATCAATGCCACATGATTGGGGCCGAAGCGAAAAGTCCCCTAGTAGTGCTCCAATCTAGGGTCGCTGGTCATTCGCGTTAGGTTTAAAGGGCGTTTCCTCGTACATAGTAGGGAAACTAGACGCTGGATCGACACTGCGTTCTCTTCCCTCTACCGCACACGAGCGGTCTGTCATGACTTGCAGGCAGATTAATAATGAGACTGCCATCAAATGTAGCGAATCTGGAGTGATTTCAGATAAAAAAATAATGTACTGTGCACGAATGCTCTCTGCATTGCGGGCGGGCCCCGCAGTTTTGGGCAGATAGGTCACAAAATAGAGACAGCTGTTGCCGACAAGAATAGGAGCGACTGGAATGACTCATTCTGGTTTATGTACCGTCATCGGTCGACGATACTCTGGTCCCAGGCGGAGCGCTTTTGCTTCACATCCGAGTCTGTTGTTCTTCAAACACTATCAAGTCAGTTGTTCTCCAGTTACAGTGACTGCTCCATTTCTTGAGGGCTGTGATCGAGGATAATAATAGTAACACGAGAGCACTGTCCACCTTCTTTCTTGTTTGCCCTCTGTCTTCGGACTCATGGTCTAGATCCTGTGCAACCGATGACATGGCAACCAGTGGTCGGTAATAGATAAATGCAGTTGGCAGAGACAAGGGACAATGGAATGGGCATTTCTGGCTTGTTCGTCGTCACAAGCTACCAATACTCCAGCCCAGAGGCGGGTGTTATCAATATGAGGACATATCAGCCTGATCGGACGGCAACTCCGATCTGGCCAATCCATTTTTCTTTCTAGGAGTCTGCATAATAAAGTATAAGGGATGAAAATGTATGATCTGTCATTATGAGGATCTCTGTGGTTAGGTTTGCCCACCCTTTATGAGTCCGGTTGATTAATTGAGGATTGGATAGGTCAAATGCAGGATCTCCATGAAATTTTTATGTGTCCATTGGATGAGCTTACTGGACCAGATTATAGGGCTTGAGTTACGAACCGTGATAATCAATAAAGGCGCTGGCTTGTGAACAAGTGGGCTGGAGTTATGGGAAATAAAATCAATATACACAAATTTAAACATATTTAAGCAGTGAATACCGTCAATCCCTCCCGTGAAAAATGGCTTGAATGGTCATAGGATATAGATCGAAGATTTTCATTTTAGATAAAGCTTTTTGGGTGTAATCATGTTATTTAGTGGAGAAAGGGGTCCGTAGGAAGTTGATATGTTAATTAAGCAAAAGATCGCATAATATTTCCGAAAATCAAAAGATATTGGAGTCCCATTGGAACAATAATTTCAGCAGACCTCAGAACGTTGCACAGATATGAGTCGAAGACTATTCGTTTTTTCGCGCACACGTCGATTCAAGCCGCAAAAGTGCCAACACCTCTTTGACGGATCAATGAAATTCGGAACTCCTGTCAGCACCACGAATACTTTAGAGAATATTTCAATGAACCTGGATCTTCTTGCACACGTGAGCATGTAAGAAACCTCCGACTGTAACCTTACCTTGAAAGTTCTCGATAACTTCAAGGAACATGTTTGTCCGACTGTCCCGCCGCCAAGACAACGGGAGGTCTATCTTACAGTAGATGTGCTAACTCATAAAATGTTAACCGAAATTCTGAAATGTGTTTTCGACTTGAAAAGATTATTTTTGCAGGGCTATAATATTAGTCACCATGCAGCTCAAATGGACGCCTAAATTTTATGAACTCCGTATGGCCTCATCTTAATACCGTAGAGAAAAGTATAGTGTCCCGTACACGGGAAATATACATTTCCCAGCTTGAAAACCCTGAATGCAAGTGCAACGGCAGGTCTGGTTCAAAAGTAATCGGGAATTGGAAATTTTTTTAAAACTGAAATATGCCCTTTCTTCAAGTACAGAACTTAAAAAGGGCTTACCTTTTTATCGAATGAGTAAAAAAGGTGATACCTGTATGCATGCTTTCTGTGAGATATATTTGAATTTATAAGGGCATCAAAAATCAATGAAAAAATTCATACTAATTAAGTAGTCATTTCTTCAGAGTAAAGTTTCGCAGGCGACTGTAAAGTTCGTTCAAAGGCCGGCATCTGGGACTAACTGAATTATCACGGGATTATGCTGCACAGTGGTTAATATCACGACCCTACTTAAGTAATTTTTTCAAGTCGAAAATGCACTTCAGAATATCAGTGAACATTTCATGAGTTAGCACATCTACTGTACGTAGTGCACTACGGTATGCACACTTGAGCACGTAAACTAAGTTGCTCTTTGACTGCAGGGATCACAATTCATGAAACTGGGAACGTTTGGAATGAGCGTACTGAAAAAGCTCAAGGGCATTTGCACGTCGACTTTACTTATTTTTTCTTCATTTTACGTCGTTCGCCCTCGGTACCTGCCTAATGGAGACTGACGTCGCCAATTGTGGGCCTTCGGATGATTGATGTTTGGTTTGGCACAACGCCTATGATTTCCTCTAGAATTTCCACTCAGCCCCAGTTGTTAACAGACTTCTTTTTTGCCACCATCTGTACCTTATACTGACCTAATTCCCGACGTCTATCGCAACGTTACGTCTCTGTCTGTCGCACGCGTGCATATACGCACCACCAGCAGTTGTTTATCTGACATTGAGAGGCCCCGTTTGCTGCCGTCTTTGTATTTAGCTAATCCCAGACGCTGTGAGGCTCTGTATGTTGTCCAGCTGGTCGCGGCTATCCAAACCGACAAAATAACTTCCAGTCTGACGCGGAAATGCCCTCGCTCCAAACACTCGGACGGCTGTAGCAGTCGTCGCTGGACATGTACCACGCGTCCGGCTGCCAAGCCGTTCCGAAAGTTTATTATTCACCCACTTCTGTTCAGCACACAATACTCTCTCAACTGGCGTCTGTTTCCGCTCAGAATCTGGCCTGGAGGTAGCAATGGTGGTGGCTGTCTACGAGTTTCTCTGTCACAGCACTGCTTGGTGCACAGAATATTTGTTTGTCGGAACACTAGCTGTCGCCGGTTCTATAGTGCTTAGCGGGTAGCCGGAGTTAAAGCGCCAGCTACGTCCATTTTTCCCTTAGTTTTTTTCAGGGTACTTTTAAGGCGATTCTCGATATGTCATTTAGTTAAACAATTCGAAAAAGGAAGTCCATTTGCGTTTAACCTGCAATTTCTAAATCAACCTCGAGCAAGATGCATTTATGACAGCTCACAATCACAGATCGAATAGTGATGAGACATTCAGGGTGTATGGATGGAATATCGAGTCGTTAGCTCTAATGCCAACGTAAAACTACCGACTTAAACACAGGAACAGTAGAAGGAAAAGAGACTTTGAAAAAATTTTTGCGGAGCTTTTAGCGAACCTGTTTGCCCAGATACTTGTCGGAGTGGTATGTTTGGCAAGACAAGGATTCCAAAATCAGAAGTCCGGGAAGACGGGTTGGGTTGGAGAACCTTTACTGCTGAGGAATTGAGCACACGAAGGCTCTGCAAGCAGTCGCCACGAGCGGTCTCTCCAGGCAAGCTGTGTTGTCTGTGTCCGCCGTCGAGGTTATTCGTCCCCAGAGCGTGTGTGCGCCTTTCACTTTGTCTCAGTGGCTGCCAGCCAATCAAAGAAGGGGCAGAGTTGTTTGGCCTCGAGCACTCGCGAGGCTATTGACAAGCCCCGCGCGTCACAGCAGCGAATGGACAGGGAGTGCGGGGCGGAGAGGAGGGCAGCGTGACAAGGCAGCAGAGAGCAAGGAGGCAGGACTGCCACAGTACCCCCTGGTTGGACTAAAGGCGGCGTATAGCGACGCCAAAGGAAGTGTCCATGTCTAAAAAAGAGCATGGCTAACCAAGCGGTCAGGAAAATGGGCATGGCGTCCACTACGGGGAATATATATATAATGGGCACAGGAGGAGAATGACTATGTCTTTCAGCTACAGTGTTGGAGGTTGATGAGGGGGTAGTCGCATTTGGGGGTAGTGCACATGGGGGAAGGGGAATTATACAGAACGGAAAGATAGGGGGTCGAGGAGGTGAAGAAGGGGGTATTGAACCACAAAGCTTATTCGGAGAAGTGTCCTGGTCAACAGCCCTGAGACGTTCCAAGCACACGACCTCCTCGCGTGTTCCACGTTGGATGAGGGAGGTATTCGCCCCACGAAAGATTACCCGGAAGGGGCCATCATAGCTTGGTTCTAATGGCCAGAGGACCCGATCATGTCGGAGATAGACGCGAGAGCATATCACCAGGTCTTTTTCGAGGTTAGACTCGGAGACGGATGTCCTGGGTGGAACCGGAGTAATTGCCCATAGAAATTGCCGGAAACGATGCAGAATGTTGGTAGGATCCTCGGCCGCAACTCGCGGAACTGGCGAGATCATCTCGCCGAGCAGTCGGACGGTGACACGGAGCACCAGTTCAGCGGCGGAACAATCGAGGTCCGACTTGAGCGAGGAGCGGATCGTCACATACTTCCATGCAGAATAGGGGTGCGGATTTATCTAGCTACGATGACATTTAACTCTGATGCTGATTATCGGTGGGACATGACGGGCGTTCAGTAAAGCGGTTCGCTATGTAGGAGTTATAAGTCGATTTTTGGACACAGTTCACGTGAATGCTGTACCACGAGTCCCCTAACTGGCGCCCAGCTCTCGGCAACAGCTTCCAAAAGCTGTACTATGCTTAATATCCACACGTCGGTAACCGCCTCAACCGACAGGTCAAGTCAGATAAAATTATCCAATATCCTTATCCATTCCCCTGTTTTTCCGCCCCACCCCACAGACTACCAGAGTAACGCCATTCACTCGGGCAGCCCAGAATATTCGTTCTCTTCTCGACAATCTGCTGAAAAACTGATCGGGAGAAGGGCAGCGTTCATCCCTCGAAAATGCGCGCTACGAGGTGGACGTTGCAGATCCTAAAAAGAGTGCTTATTACTCGAACAGTGTCAGCTGGCGGAGATAGGTGCTGATTACTTTTTCTCTGGAAGCGCACACCCAAGGGAAGAGCGACGTGACGCTGGAGTCGCCTTTGTCATCGAGAAGAACGCCGTAGGACGATCGTACTGTCTGCTGTAGGACACTGAGGACCGCCTCATGATTCTGCGCCTACCCCTTTGGGGAACCCAATTCCCAATTTTCGTCAGCATCTATGCCCCTCCGAATGGTCATATCTGACGAGATAAAGAACAACTTCAACGGGGATCTGAACGTCCTCTGACGACTGTGCCGAAGACAGACAAAGTGACTGTCCTTGGTGACTTCAATATTCCCGTCCGGACGGGCCGCGCTTCTTAGGGGAAAGTGCTGGTTTGCCACCGAATCTGAAGTTGCAAAACCAATGACCTCCAATTTCTGCAGGCCTGCAAGGAACACTATCTCCTTCTGACCAATACCTCCCCTCTTCCGATGCTGGAGAGGGCTACGTAAATGCACCTTGGATCGTGTCAACGGCACTTGCTGGGCTACGTTCTTGTTCAGAGGTAAAATGAGCGCGAAGTGCCAGTGACGGAGGCCATCTGCGACGCCGGTAGCTGAAACGATCGCTGCCTTGTTTGGAGTGAGTCTGCTAGCACAATCTCGCAGGCGAACGCAAGGCAAGTGACCGCCAGCTACGTTGTCCTGCGCCTAGATTTTAAGAATCGATTGAATCCCCATCTGGAGAAAATGTGGGCTCTGGAAGACAACGCCACCATAGAGAGGAAACGGAGAGGAAACATCATTAACTCCACTTTCCTGGCCGTTCTTGGTAGCTCACGGTGTCAAAATCAACATTCATATTGACCCAAGTGTGAAAAACGCGGGGCCTGGTAGTCATCTGGTAGATTCTAGGTGAATTACGTAGGAAATCCTGCTTGGGCAGTCAACTTACTGTATCAGATTTAATGGATTCCAGAAGTTGCAGTAGGTTGGGCGGGTAACCTGACCCAAATGTGATTAAACTCGAGTCGTCCGGCGGGGCCTCGTAGCTCAGGTGGTTAGGGCGTTGGCTTTACTAAAGCCTTCTCCTTACTGCCAGGATTCGAATCCCGCCGAGGTGCCGAGTTTTTCACAGTTGAGTCAATATGAAGTATTCAAAATCTACCAAAATATCTACGAAAATCGGCATTGTTTAAATTGCAACGACAAAGAAATATGCAGTTTGCTTGCTCGGAAGAATAGGCTTCACACAAACTGTATCAAACGCAGGAACGGCGCCAAGAAAGTGACCTACTTCCGTTGTCGGCATCTGGTATAACAACGATTAAAGGGGAAGAATAATGCCTGGAAGAATCGCCACACTAAGGAGATGCGTGGATATGCGTGCTGCAATGGGGAATAATTTCTTCAAGTCAATCAAGGCGGTTTACGGCTCCCGCACCAAAGAGCCGCGCCGCTGCTCAGTTCTGAAAGAAAAATCCTACTCAAGGAAAATCGCAGATTCGGAGGTGCTGGAACCAGCAATTCAGAAGCGTCCTTAATTAGCGCTCCACTGTCTCCGGCGACGCCATCAACACACCCTCAAGCGAAAACGAACGCCAACCCAAACTGCTATCCTCGCTTCAGGAGACTAACGGCGTGCACCAGACGTCCAACGGCAAAGCGCCAGGATTCGACGCGATTCCGGCGGAAGTTTACGAGTGTGGCGACCCTCGGCCGATGCACGGGCTTAATCTACTCTTCAGGCAACATGGCAACAAGGAAAAGTCCCACAGAACCTCAGCTTTATCAGTGCAAGAGGAACCGACAAGTCTGTGATAGCCACAGAGGCTTTAACAGTCTTAGCAGTGGTCGTACCTAGGGTCGTCGCCTCATCAGATCACTGAGTTGAGGGAGAATACAAAAAGCACCAGAATAATGAGTTAACTAAGCACAGAAATGGCCGCTGGCGAGGCCAGGGCGTTCCCTGACGATGCTAAGGCATACCTGAGAGAGCATGACACAGTTATGGAAGTTGATTTAAAATGTTTGTAAAACAGGTTTAAGTACTGCCCAATCGATGTGTGTTGTACTAATTGACGTGTATTACCACTGGTATGTTGAATAAGGCAAAATACCATCTTCAGATGGCTGATCGTCTTGCACAGTGGACTACTGCCTAGGAGAGATAAGAGCGAGGGAGGTCGACTCTGGGGACTTCGCCTCTATGGCACTCAGGGCACATCCCTCAGCATAAGCAATCTAACATGTTTTGAAACTATCATGGCACGCTTAAACCCGTCGCTTGGAAGGATTCCAGTTGAGGGGTTAACTTAGTCCTCTCAGAACTAAGAGTCAGGCTCAATGGCCCCTTCTAAATGCAACCTTTATGGTACCCTCGTACACATGAGCTCTGGGTTAGAATTTTCCTGAAAACCAGATATGTTGTGCATGAAATAGATCGTGTGTGACAGATGCGGTCGGGCTGTTTAGCTCTGTCAGCCTCTGCGATCAAGCCTGCTTCTGGCTGTCTTCGCTTCGTCTTGCGATTGGGCCTAGTTGAATGAGAGAGGAATGAGTGCGGTAGGTGTTACGCAAGTCGTTCGCAATATAAACTATTTCGAGAGCAACTCACCGTCCTTCATCCACGGGATGAGGTACACGGCGGAAGTCGTTTTTCTCACCGTTCGGACTGTCGATGATTACTGGTCGTGCCTAAAGCACTTCTAGGGTGTGACTAAGACCAGTTAATACAAAAATCACTTTTCTTCCTGATGAGTTTAATGAAAGTGTCGGCTATAACTGACCTCTAAATTTCTCAAATTTCTGTTTGCAGATTTTTGGGCTAAGGACCTGCATATACAGGAGGTGGACGGGCCTTGTTGAGTATGAATACAATTAAATGTAGAGACCTCTCTTAAAGTTGTAAACGGTACACCAGAAATATTGCCACCGGCTTTCTAGATGAGAAAGAAATTTGTAAATTTGCGGTGACGTGAACCGATCAATAATATTCCGGGTATTGCGCCTAGAACTCGTGGGCCTTCTCATTAAAAGTGGATGCATTTTGTTCCTATGAAGTAGCTAAAGATCACTCTCAAGACTCTTTGCATCTAATCCGTACGTTACACTCATTGAAGATGCAGCATTCCAGCGTTACCGCGTTATGAGCCATATGATATGATATACGCGTTTACTTATGCTGTTATTAGCCTTCAAAACGGCGCTGATATTTGTTTGCTACTTGATCCGCCTAGTATGCTCACTGTTATTTGTAAAATAATCGACTAAAGTGTTATAACTTAAACAGGTTAGAACGGACTGCAAGAAATAGGAAACTCACCAACTGAGAATGCTTCATAGTGATGAACACAAACTGTAATTCATCGATGCTGGGCCTGTATCTGTACTATAAAGTTACCACTTTCTGAGAAAAAAGTCGCCAGTTCGGGCAAATCAGTCTATTTGAGATTTATAAGTCCAGACTAAAATTTGCCACGAATATTTGGGCCACAGCGGAATGACCGCGTAGTATTCATAAGCCGCCAACAAACAACCAGAGTACATGCACAGGTTGCTCGGCATGCTCTACCTGACAGCACATATACTAGCTAAAAGCCCAGACACGTGAATTGGCTAAAGTTCAGCGTCGACTTGCTTATTTTGTAGACTCAACAAAAAGCATTTCGAAAGTACTCGGATAATTGCTACTTACGCTCGCTCTTTCCATTGCCATGCGTATGCATTTTTGGTGTAGTAAACGGAGAAGCGCCTCACAGAAGTGGTTAGACACGGGAATAAGTAGCCTCCGTATCACAGATGATCCTGTACTCAATTCCAGTAGTAATTCCTATTTCCGTATCCTAACCGTAAACTTAACACACATATGGTTGGGCTTGAAAGGTCATCAGTGGTAGAGCACAGGGAATAATTACCTCCAGTAATGCAGGTGACTCTGCGCTAAATTCCATGAGAGGTTAGGCTTAGAAGGACCAGGGTTGGGTTACATGTTAAGGTTACAGTTAGGACAAGAGAAAAGATACCCATCGAATTTAGCGCGAGACCGCAAAGTGTGCAGGGGAGCACTTACTCCCGTGTCCCACCGACGGAACCTTTTACTCGTCACAGGTTGAAAGAAAGCCGGCTCGGTGAACGCACATCGCCTACTCACCTGCGGCTTGTTTTCCATGCTTAGGTAGCCGGAAATCCGGTGGGGAAACGTCGCCCGTAAAAAATTATGATTACCTTAGTCTCCTTTTTATTTTAATAAGTAGTTGCAATTTCAAAACCGGGGTATCTGCCAGAAATCACATGGAGAACGTTGGAGGACCCAGCGATTAGCCGAAATCATCTCGTTTGTGTCATGCGGCGGCAGAATATCGGTGAGACATGTGCCTGGACTTTTAGCTAGTACCTGTGCTGTCAAGTATGGTATGTCGCGCAACTCCTTCCCAAATACGCTGCTATTTAACCAACCT